ATGGTTTCTGTGGGGTTAGTGTCCGCCCCCATTCGCCCTGGCTGCTGTCTCCGAGGCAGATGGGTGACAAGCCTCCCCTAGCTGGACTGGCCCACCACGAAGGTGTGGCTGGGCGGGAGGCTAGAGGCTGACCACCCAAGCCTCCTTGTGAGGGGCTGGGAAGCCCCTGGGGGCCCGCCCCGAGCAGCCCATAAATCCAGGAGACCTCCAGGAGGCAGGAAGTCTCCCTGCAGAGGTGTCCCAGCGCTCGGGACTTGGGGAGAGGACAGCCAGCCGTCTCCGGGTTCCCGGCCGTGGCCACTCCCCTCGGGCAGGTGGTTTGTCTCGGGTGGGCCAGAGATGAATGAGCAGCAACTGTGTATTCCTCGCTGACTACAGGGCTTTCCCTGCACCTCGCCCTTCGCCTGGGCTGGAGCTTTGATCCCAGCAGGAGGGCCCCCAGACCTGCAAGCTGAGCCATAAGTCAGCTCAGAGCTAACTGTCCAGGGTGGTGGTGATGCCAGGTCCTCGGAGGCCCCAGAGCTGACAGGCCTAGAGATGGGAGGGAGGCAGGTGTTGAATGAACGGGGCAGAGGACAGGGCTGCCCCCGGGCAGTGAGTCCCCTTTTGGAGGAATCCGAGCACAGACTGTGCCCGGCAGCTTCCCACTTCTCGGGTTACCTATCCCTTCTCAGTGCTGGGACTCTGCGAGCTTGAGGCACCCTGGGAAGGACGGCCACGCTGATGCCCTGGCTGCTGCTTGGGGTGTGGCACACAGCTGCTGAAAGGAAGCCCAGGGCTGGCCAAGGCATCCAGCCTACCTCAAGCCCCTGCCCCTCTGCCCGACCCAGCTGGTACAAGCTGTTCTGGCTGATTCTGGCCTCCCTGGACCCTCTTTCTCCTTCCTGGCCCCTTGGAGCCACAGCCAGTCCTGCAGAGCCAGGTGCGGGACCCTGCCAAAGGACGGAGAGGTGGGTGCCCCGCTAGCCAGAGTTAGAGCAGGGAGTCAGTCCTCGGAGCCTGCTCTGGTGGCTGGGAAGGGTTCCTTGTACCAAAGTCCGTTCTGCAATCCCCAGAATTGCTGAACGCGGGCTGCTGCCCTGCCCCGCCCGCGCGCTTGCTCCCAGCTCTGTGGCTCGCTGCAGGAAAGGGGGGGTTCCCACACAGGTCAGGGGCAACCCAGGGACGCTCGGTGTGGCCTGGGCCCTAGGACCTGGGCAGGGGAGGTGTCTCCTTGCTTTCCGGAGCCCGTGTGCACTCTCCTTGCTCTCATGTGTCGGTTCCACCCTGCTGACACGCTTCCTCTGTGGCTGGCTTGGGCACCTAGGCTACAGCTCAGCTGGGTTCTCTGGAGCCATCCTCACCTGTCCAGTCTGCCCTGTGGGGGCTGCCAGTGGCTGTTCAGTCTGAGTCCTCCTTGTTGGGCTGCGCAGGTGTGGAGGGAGGAGGGAATGTGTGGATCCTGAGAGTGGGGCTGGTAACACCAGTGGGCTGGAGGCCAGGGCCCCCTCCCAGCCCATATCCGCTCCGGCTTCCGGCTTGGCCTTCCTTCTGCAGACCAGTCTCTAATTTTAAGGGGTCTCAGTGTTCCTCTCCTGGCTCGGTCCGATCACATGGTCTTCCTTTCTGAATGTCACCTCATCTTCCTCATTTCTGAAAACAGGATGGGGGAGGCCCTCACCTGAACCCCATGTCTGGCCTCAGCGAGGTTGATTTAGGACATCAGTGCAAGACAGTGGGGCCTCAGGGGTCCTAGAGCCTAAGGTATCGTGTCGGGGTCAGGGACTGGCCCTTGGGGATTGTTGCCCTCGGATGGGTAGAGCTGCCCCCAGTCACTGTGCCCAGCTCCCGGCTGGACCCCCAGGAGACCCCAGACATTCCTGGCTCTCAGCCAGCAGGGCCATCAGAGGTGGTGGCAGCCCCGGCAGTGTGCCACGCTGTGCGAATGCACTCCGAGCGTGCAGAGCAGGTCTGCCTGAGGTCACCCTTTCAATGTGTATTTTGAATATTTTCAGCTGTATGTGCGCTGCGGGGACTTGGCCCGAGCACTGTGTGTGCAGCTCATACTTGGTGGGCTGTGTAATGTGTGGGGGCATTGCCAAGGGCAGTGGAAATGTGGACTTCTTCCAGCATAATCACATGAATTCTACCACCACCCTCCTACCCCTGCCCCTGGGCCTGTGTCGTTGCACCCCAAAGCCAGGAAGCTGCTGGGGTAGAAGCACCAGGCCGGTGCTTTGTCCCCTGGTTTCTTGGAGACAGTGGGGTGTCCAGGGATGGGTACCCCTCAGTGCTGTGTTCACCAGGTCTCCTTTAGGCTGTGTTGACTGCATGGGGGCTTGCTGGGGACAGGGACAAGGCTTCTTTGGATGCCCTGCCTGGTCATCCAGAGCATTCCTCGAGAGGAGCAGACAGCCTGTGCTCCAGGCCAGCGACAGTGGGGCAGGGGTTGCCTGTCATGAAGGGCCACATTCTTGCAGGTCCAGGGAGTAAGGAGGGCCTCTGGAGGCCCAGCTCAAGATCGGACCACTACCCTGAAAGCCTCTCTGGCCTCATCTCCGCTGGGAGGCCTCACCATGTCTGCCCTCACACCTGGCCCCGAGATGAGCCCCGAGATCCGGAGGCCCTGATTCTACTCGTGCGAGTTTACGAGGGCAGCCAAAACAAAGTAGCACAGGCTGGGTGGCTTTAACAACAGAAATTTATTTTCTCAGTTGTGGAGCTTGGAAGTCTGAGAGCGAGTTGTGGGGAGGGTTGGCTGCGTCTGAGGCCTCACCATGGCTTGGAGATGCCACATTCTCACTGTGTCTTCGTGTGGTCTTCTCTGTGGTCTCTATCCTAATCTCTAAGATACCCGTCAGATTGGGTTACAGCCCACCCTGGTGACCTCATCTTAATTACCTCTTCAAAGATCCTGTCCCCAACTACCCTCCCATGAGTATGAATTTCGCAGTGGACACAGTCCAGCCTGCTACACCAGCAGATGCTTGGGGCCGGTATTCTCCAGGGGCTGCAGTCAGAGGAGCCTTCTGCAGCACCTCTGCCCACTCCAGCGCAGGGAGCTCACCGTGGCTGGTCCAGGGGTCTGAGGTCCCACGCTGGAAAACCAGATCCTGAGGGAGGCTCATTCTGTATTCAACTCAGTTCTGAGGAGAGGAAACTGGGGCTCTCAGGGACGCCTGGGTTGGCTCCCCGGTTGCTTAGCTGAGGGGCACTCAGTTGCCACGGTGACCTCCGTCTGCACAGTCAAACACACCAGGCCCAGCCACTTCTCCGGGCTGGAGGGCTCCCCACCCCCCTCAGAGTTCACACTGAGTGTTGAGTCCCTTGGTGACAAAAACATGGAAACGGTTGCCATGGCAGCCATTCTTTGGAGCCCTCAGACTGGAGTGCAAAGTTCAGGATGCCCAGGAACAGCTGAAATGAAAATTGGGGAAAATCCGCCACTTCTTCACCCCAGATGAGTGGGACGGTGTTCGAGGTTCCCCTGGGCCCAGTCACCCTCGCTCCTGCCCACCGTGACCTTGCTGGTGTGGGCACAGGGAGGCCCTGGGAGTGAAGATGGCACAGTGGCCCTCAGACACCTTGAGAGGAGCCAGCCAGCAGGGGCGCTCAGCAGGAGGAGCGAGGGTCATGCTGCTGCAGGCACGTCCTTGTGGCTGCTCGTGTCTGTCTCTTCGCCTGTGACTGGGAGGGACAGGGCAGCGCGCCGTCCTCCGCGGAGGGCTCAAGCCACTCAGCCACCAGGGTCACGTTCAGCAGGGCACAGGTGGGCTCAGCGAAAGGGAGGCTGTTTCGATTGTGGTGCGGAAGGAGGTTAGTGCAGCAGAGACTTCATGTAGCCTCTGAACTGGGGGCAACTGCTGGGTTCCCAGTTACCCAAGTAGGTCCGTGGGGCTCTGCTGACCCAAAACGTTCCAACCAGAGGTTTCTACGGTTGGGGTTGTTTGGGATAGAAACACACATGCAGGCACAGACACTTCGTAGGTGAAGGGCCCTGAACGTCCTGCAAGGAAATCTCTTAACCCCTGTTTCACAAGCACGTTCGAGCAGTTTCCCTGAAGCCCCTCACCTCTTGTACTTTCTCCTGTTTTTAAAATACCCCTTAATATCCTGCAGAAGTAACATTTGTTAACATTAACTGGGACACTAATTCTCAAAGCATGTTTGCTGATTAGCTGCATCCGCACCACCTGGAAGTTTCTAAAAAATGCACCTTCTGGGCCCCACCCAGATCTAGTGCATCTGGACTTCAGGTTGGGCTGCGTGATGTGTGTTTTGACATCCTCTAGGGACTCAGATGCCTGCTCCATTTTGAGAACCCCTACGAATGGAGGAAATGCTCCAAACTGGGGAAAAGGGAAAGGCCTGGGGAATTTGAGGGGCTAGGAGGGAAGGGAGGCAGACAGTGCAAGGACCCTGAACTCTGGAAGGGGGCTGTGGCCGGCCCAGGTTCCGGATGCGCGGCACCTGGCCACTGAGAACCTGTCATGGTTTTCTGAGGTTTGGGTCAAGGGCAGGGTGTGTGTTAAGTGATTGGGGGGGGGGGACCTGAAAGGCTTCATGCCCCCTCCCTATCCCTCAAGGAAGAGCCAGCGCTGCTCTCATGCGCTTGCTCCAGGCAGGTGCACTCTGCCCAGCATGCCGGGGTGGGGTGGGGGTCAGTCTCGATGGGCTTCCTCTGGCCTTCTGGAACCCTACGAGGGTGCTCCTTCACAAGGGCAGTGCTGGGTGGCATCTCTAAAATAGGCAGGAAGCGTCTTGTAAAAGTGGCTCTAACCCAGGTGTCAGCAGGTAGGATTCCAGGATCAGCTTTGCCACCATCCAGCCATTCCCCCGGGGCACCCTGTGCAGTCACTGCACGGCTCTGGCTCTGGGGCTGTTTTCCCTTGTCAAACAGGCTGTCCCAACCCCGGCCTTTGGGGAGGGTGGGGGGCAGGCAGGGCGCCCCTAATTCCGGAAGCTGGGTCCTGGCGGCCCTCCCCAATGAGTGGCCCACTCATTGCGTGCGCTTCTTGCAGCGGTCCAGATCCACATCCTGAAGGCAGACAAGGCGGGGGACTGGTGGAAGTTCACGGTGAACATCATCTCCGTGTACAAGCAAGGCACAAGCCGCATCCGCCGTGGTGACCAGAGCCTGTGGATCCGCTCGCGGGACATCGCCTGCAAGTGCCCCAAAATCAAGCCCCTCAAGAAGTACCTGCTGCTGGGCAACGCGGAGGACTCACCGGACCAGAGCGGCATCGTGGCCGACAAGAGCAGCCTGGTGATCCAGTGGCGGGACACGTGGGCGCGGCGGCTGCGCAAGTTCCAGCAGCGCGAGAAGAAGGGCAAGTGCAAAAAGGCCTAGCGCGGAGGCAGCAGCGCGCCGGGCGGGCGGGGCGGAGGGCTGGGCCGCTCGAGCTGGCAGCCCCAGTGACTTGGCCCACGAGGTGGGGGGCGGGGGGCGGGGCCCTCTGCAGCCCCTCCCCCTGGCGGCCCCTCACCCAACCCCACCCTTCGCGCCCCAGGCTGGAGGTGCGCTGGGAGGGGTGCATAGCAGGCCGGGCCCTGGAGAAATGAGGACGAGACTTAGCTACCTCATGGGCTCCTTCCAGAGCAGAGACGCGCTTCGCAAGGGCTAGGTGGGGTCTCCATGGAAGGGGCGGGGCAGCCTGACTTGGGGCCCAAGCGCTGGGCACAGAACCACACAAGTGGGGCCGGCACTGTTGGCGCATGCTGGCGAAGGGGCTGTGAGGAGAACTGTGAATTCAATGACGCTGTAGCTTTTGTGGGGGACGCAGAGCAAGCCCAGCCAAACCACCACTCCCAACAGAAAGACTGAAAATCCCCTCCTTTCCCCGTCCTCCTCGGGAACTCCCACAGGTTCCCTGGCCGTGACAACCTGGAGCCCAACTGCAGGGGCCTGGCAGGCCTTGGGAGGAGGCGGAAAGCAGCCTGGGGTCTCCATTGCCCTGCTGAGTTGGTCCCTCTCGGTGGGGTCTTGGGGTGGGGGGTTACAGCCTGTGGAGCCAGAGGAGAGGAAGCCCCTACTGGTGCCTGCCCCCTGCCCAGCGGGAGGTTGGGTGCGGGCCGGGATTCTGACCTGTGCCGAGGGCAGTGGGCCCAAGGACACCCTTGAGAAGCCAAGCAGGGTGGTCACTGCCTCATGCTGGAGCTGCCTGTTGGAGGGATGGCGAAGGCAAAACCTCCCAGAGAGTTTCCTCTCTGGAAACTTGGAACCAGCCCCTTTTATGACATTTTCCAGGGGAGGGGGAAGGGGCATGGGCTGGGTTTACGGCAGGCAGGGACACTATTTGTGTAATGACATCAGCTCCCACAAGGCCCCTCAGCAGTGTCAACAGCTGGGAAGGGCCGGGATGGGCCTGCTATGCAGGCTGCGAAGGCAGTGGGCCTGGCTGGGGCTAGGGGCTCGCTGACCTAGCGGGGTGCCAGAGCCATGGCAGGTAGGAATTGCCAGGTTCCTGGGGGCCAAGGAAACCATGGCCACCTCCTGTTGCTGCCAGTTTCCCTATTCTGGGGCTACCCTGCTATAGGTCTCTTGGTCTAGCCTGGGCAGCCCCGCTTCCCCATTTCCACCTTTGCGGTGACTTCCCATGCCCGGCTGTGGTCAGGCCCCCTTTCTAGAGCTACTGTCCCCAAGTGGGCAGTTCCAGTCTGATTTGTCCCAGGCCGTGCCCAGTATTCTGGCACCTCCTGTGCTCTCTGCACTGCCCAGGGGCCTCTGGTCCGTGTCCTCACACCCAGCACAATGAATTAAGAGGCCTGGCTCCCCTCTCAGTCAGGAAATTGGTTTCATTTTCCCCGCTGGAGCTCGACGGCTCCAAAGGGTCACACCAGGTATGAGCCTGGCCCTCGTGGTCTGGCCACCCTCCACCTCCAGCCCGTATTACCACTGCCATTGACTGAGCACCTGTGCCAGGCACTTTATCCACATGATCTCATCCTCATGGCAGCCCTGTGCAGGAATTCTCACCCCTTTGTCACCAGTGAGAAAAATGAAGCACATGTGCCCAAGGTGTTTGGGCAAACACGTAGCAGGACTGGATTCAGGCCTGAGGCTGGCTCTCTGACCAGGGGCCACAATGCCCTTTGCTGCCTGTGGGAGTCTGGGGCAGCAGCAAGAGTAGAGGGTGAAATAGGGTATAACTCACCGCAGGCAGCCCGGGAAGTCCCAGGTTCCAGGAAGGCAGGCCTTGGCTGACCCTCAGACAGAGGACATCTGGAGGGATTCCAGAAGAGCCTGGCAGAGAGAAGACAGAATTAGCTTGGGAGGGGTATTTATCTTCCCTGAATTCAGGCCCGGAGGTGGAGGCACTGCCCTCCGCCGATGCCCATCACCGTGCAGTGCTAGCACCATCAGCATCAGGCTCACAGTCCTTGAAAAGTACGACACGCGTTAGCCACGTCACCTCCCACCTGGATCTGTCTTACCCCCTGTCCAGAGAGGGGTTTGTGAGGCCCCTCAGCTCTGGAGTCAGTGACCTGCCGAACAGTAGTGTATCTTGTTTTAAATTCAACCAGCCTCAGGCTCAGCACCCCGTGGGCCCAGGCCAGCCCCTCGGGCATGTGCTAGAATGGACACTGGGGATTTCCGTCACCACAGGCTGCCTCCCCCAGCTCCCCCACACTGCCCTGCCCCGCCCCAGCGCCTGGTCCCAACCACCACCTTTAGCAGTGAGGACCCACCCTTGGTCCTTCCATCCCCGCCCCCTTGGGAGGAGGAGATGGAAGGCACGGAGGTGCTCCAGTTTGTACAGTTAGGAAGGGATGTAAAATGGAACTAGATTTTGACTTTTGAAGAGTGTATTAACCAGAATTGTGATATGTAGGTGTTTGAAGAAAAATATACCAGATTAGTTCTTTTGGAGAAAAAAAGATTCCCCAGTTGTCCTTTTTTCTCACCAGCTAGGTGGTCTGGAGCCCGACCCTGGAGGGCCTGCTTTACTGACACACAGTGATGCCAGAGGCTGGGGGTAGGGACTTGCCTGCAGGCGGGGGCTTCTGTCCTGGGAAGGCCGGGCGGGCGGGACACCAGATGCCATCCTGGCCGGGGAGCCGCTTCAGACCCCCTCGTCACCTCCTGGAATCCGCCTCCACAGCAGCTGCAGGAAACGGGCCCAGACTTTCTTGTGTTGGCCCCAGGTTGGGGTGAGTCTGACACCAAGGAGACGCTAAGCTAGGATTGGAGAACGAAAAACGGTCAGGGTCTCGGCACTCGAGGAAGCCCTGCTCGGCAAGGGAGACCGGAGCGAGACGCATCGATGCCGCCAAGGTTCCTGGTCACAGCCATGCCACACCCCTAGGGGTCTCCCCGTGTGTACCTGTGGGGCCTCTCGCCTGCCAAATCCAAGCCAGTCCCACTCCGTGTGTCATTGGACATCTCTTCCCCGCCCCCAACGCACCTCCCGCCCTCCCCCGCACTCCCCCGCGTTTCAGAGTTCTGTGCACTCAGAATTGTAAATGTTTAGTTGTGACCATGACACATTGTTTGGGTCAGTGTTCCTTTCCAATGCATACTAATATATTATGGTTATTATATATGAATATATTTAATGACATGGAGAAAGTTGTGGATTTTTTTTTTTTTTAAGTTTTTTTGTTGTTGTTAGAGTTGTAATGGACCCAGATGGAACTTGTAATATGGGCCACACATGATAGAACTAAATTCAGATATCAATTAAATAAACTCTTGTACACTGTTCCGGCTCCTAGTCTTCATCAGTGGCCTGAGCTGGGGGGGAGGGGAGAAGGTGGTGGGTCTTCAGGCCACATAAAGAACCAGAATATGGATTCCCCTCAAAAGAGACAGGAAAAGGGCAGATTTACATGTAAAAGCCATAGGGGTTTACTGGCTCCAAATGCAATTTTGAGCTGAAAGTCTGTCTGACGGGACAATCTCTTATCAGTCTCCAAATAATAGCCTCTGGGATCCAGATCCTGGCCACTCCCTGGGGCCCAGGCAGAAAAGACATCTCCTCCCACCTACCCCAACTCCAGCAGCAGAGAGCACCTTTGAACTTACCTAGCTCAGAACCTGTACGAAAGGTTTTCTCCTTTCACAGGCAGTTTCTCCTATTCAAATCCAAGACGAGACTCACAAGGAAAGACAATGGGGTTAGTGAAACCATTTTCTCCCCTAAGACACGGCTAAAGGATTCACGCGGTGCAGAGAGGGGGCGGGAGCCAGCACCTCGCAGTCACCAGAAGCTGAGCTCACTGTGTTTCTGAGAGGCTATATTTAAACCTCCAAATGGTTGTGATTTCTTTATTAAATAAACAATTCAGTCATTAGGAACATGTTGTGTTGCCATGCAGAGTGGAGCTGATCGTCACCAGGAAGCTGTAATTTCTGCACCCAGCTGTTTTGAGCAATGGACCTGGTCTGGCCCCTAAGAATGCAGACTCAACTGGCCCCCTGAAGGCGTGGACAGCCCTTCCCCGCTGCATGGGGCCTGAGTGAGATCCCCTTTTTCCTCAGGAAAAAAAGAGGTCTGGCCCGGCCTGCAGAAGGCGCAGGGACTGGTGGCCTCTGGTGTCTCCGTCACTCTCAGGTGTGAGGCCCTGCTGGAGTGACAGTGCTTGACACCGGGCAGACGGGCATAGCCTGCCCCCCCCCCTCCAGAGACAGTGCCCCAGGATGGGGATGGCCCGCTCACGGCGGAGACACTCCTAGGTTTCAGGTTTTGTTGAACAGACATGTTCAATATGTCCATGTTCATGACTATTGATGTTCAGCATATCTTCATTTGCTCTATGAAGACTAAAAACATTTAATATGCCAAAAACCAACCAACCAAACCTGAGTGAAGGATGAACACAGCAGCGGGAGAAAAAGTAGACGGCAGATGAACTCGGTGCTTTACAAACTGGAGATTCAATAGGCCTCAAGTCATTTCTGGAAAGAGGCAGATAAATTAATTGTTACTGGCATGTGGTTGGGAGGAAGTCTGAAATTTTATGAAGCAATTAGAGAAAAGATGAGTCTTGGCCAATTTTTTAAAAAATAAAAGTCTCTGCAGAGCATTCCCAGGAAGCCGAGGCCGGCTCTGCTGACGGGACGGGAAAGGCAGCCATGGGCCACCGCTGTTCCGCTAGTCAGGAGAGAGCCTGACGGTTATGAAACCGAGGGGCCGTGGGGACTCCGCAGCGCCTAGTGGAAGGCAAGTTCCACAGATCTGCTGGGGCCCTGGAGGTTTCGAAAGGAGCAGGTCACCCTGGGGCTAATGAAAACCAAGATTTTGTTAGTTATTAATAATAGTGACGTTTCCATGGAACAGAAGTACCAAGTCCTAAGTAGGTATCTGGATTTCTTTATATGGTATCCAGACTTAACATGCTTATATTAATAATCAGTGAAGCTAAACAATACTTCTACTGTTATTTTAATAAAGTTTATTTTCACTGAAAAAGCATCCAAGGTGACAGGCCGTGTCTTGCTCCTGTGAGTCTGGGGTGAGGTCTCACTGCTCACGTGACCTGTTCAGAGCACTGTGTAGCTGGGGCTGCGGCTCTGAACGCTTGGAGGGGAGAACCAGGCCTTGCCAAGCCGAGCTGGAAACCCCCACCCTGGTTTACCTGAGCCGTGCTACTCTAGGCTGGGCCTGGGAGCAACAGGTCTCACAAAACGGCTCGTTCCAACCACTGGATCTGCCTCACCCCTTTCATCTGCCCTTCACTGTAGAGTGGGGTGGGTGTCTCCTGAGTAAGCTAAGGAAAGGGGAAGCTTTACCTTGCCCAGTACCGTCCTGCCCGCCCGCCCCCAGCCCGGTGCTGTCCAAGGCTTGAATGGTGGGTCCTTGCAGTTAACCCGCTGGTGCTGGTTAACTTTCACCCCTCCCCTGCTGGTGGGTCCAGAGAAGTAAAGTCACTTGCTCAGGGTCACTCAGCTAGCAGTGGCGGGCTGGGCCTAGAGCCCACTCAGTCAAAAGAACAGAAGCCGTTGTGTGCAGACATCGGCTCAGTGTTTGGCTTGAAAAGGCCTTTCCGTGTGGCTGAGCCAGAAGGCTGTGGCTCTGGTTCAAAGACGCCCCATGAGTTGCCGGGGCTCCGTGCTGAGCAAGTCAAGAGGAGGTGAGAAAGTCAAACAGACCTTCAATGCCACTTCCCATGAGCTCCAAAGTGGGGGGCTCCAAGGAGACGGTGTTTATACATTTGGGGTTTCGCATGACAAAACTGAAAGAGGTGACTGCAGATTCTTGACCTGCCATTGGGTGATGCATCGGCAACCACGGCCCCCACCCTGCAAGAAAATGCATCCAGGGCACGCCACCATCCACTCCACAGGCCTGGCCCCGTCCAGGATGGCCCGTCTCCTACAGGGATACACCTATCTTCAGAAAAGCCTCCCCTCTGCTTCAAAATCCAGTTCCCTGACAGCGTGGTTCGTGCTCATAGCAGGTTCCTGCTCCCATTCAAAGATGGCCCATTTAGTCTGCGAAATCTTTTCCCACAGCCTCACCGCACCCAGGCCTAGTCCAGGTCGGCACACCTGGGCAGCCCCTGCAGGTCAATGGGGGTGGGGCCTGGGGAAACCACAGCTTTTTCTCTGCCTGGGCTCACTCACCTCCCCAGCACTCACTCTGTTGCACTAGATGAAAGCATGTGACCAAATCCCTCAGGCCTGCATTTGGAGACCCCCCCACATCCACTGCATTTAGATTTGGTTAGAGGAAGAAGCTTTTGTCAGCTCGATGCTTGCACTTGCGAACTTACCTGATCCTCAGGGCAACTTCTGAGGCAGGCAATCTCCCCTGCACCCTCTAGAGCAGGAAACAGAGGCACAGACATATGCCCTTAGTCATATACCTGGGAAGAGGGTGTGGCTGTCACTGGGGCCATTCACCACTGGTTCAGGCTCTACCGTCTGGGTGTTTCATGGTCCCCAGGGGTGACTGGCTGACTGGTTCAGGCCACTGAGCTGTGCACAGAAGCAATGGTTCTCTTCTGGAAAGACATTCCCCTGCAGGCGTGAGGGTTTCTGGAGCTCCCAGCGGCTGTCCTGCTGGCCTGGGCGCTGTAGTGAGGAGACGTGGTCAGAGGCCCTGGTGGGCGGGCAATGGTCATGCAGCAGGGCACGTACATGTGGGAGGGCCCTGGGCTGCTATGATGGGAGCGGTTGGGAACCAGCACTGTCCTGCTGTCCTGGCGGAGATGGAGCAGAGTCCAAGCATGAATCAAGGCAGCCAGACTGCTTCTGACAGAAGGGGACCGTGGGCTGTGGGGGGGCAGGAGCGCTTGGGTGGGTGGGGAGGGCATGGGCAGTTGGGACCTGCCCCTGTAGGGAACAGCTACCAGGAATAGGATCACTTACCCTCTGCAGGCCCCCGGGGCTTCCCAGCACAACTAGAGTCTGGAGTCTCGAGGTCCTGGGAAGTAGCGCTCTGCCAGGCAGCGTGTTCTGTCCCCTGGTTGGCTCCCAAACAGGGTCAGCCCATGGACTCTTGAAGCTCTTGAGGGCAGTCACCGGCACTGTCTGAAAAATCCACAGCAGATACCCCGTACCCCCTCATCCCTTCCCCGGCTCCCCTACCACAGGCTCTTCTCACCTTTTCCTCAGTGAAACCATGTGCTTTGGAAGCTGCCCCATCACCAACCCTAATCCTCTCCTATCATGGAGGGCGAAGGCCCATCCTTCCTTCCCTCAAGGGGAGCGAGGGCATGATGCCTGGCCCTGGGCTCCCTTCTAACCCAGAACATTCCCACGCACGGCACACAGGCCTACCCCGTCACGCTGTGCTACACACGTGCCACACACACACGAGCACCTGCCATAGCCAGTTTAAGGCAAACGAAGGCTTTGCTCTCCTGACTTCATAATCACACCTTTCTTGAACCTTAAACAGTGGTTTCCCACCTGCCTCCCACCCCACCCGCCTTATGTGACAGACTTCATTCTGGCTGCTCATAAAGTTGTTTTTAGCCTTGGAAAATGGGTTAACTATCACTGAGGAAATGAAAAACGTGAGCTTCCAGGTGTGACGGCAGTTCCTAAAGTAGACTCCAGAAACATTTCTGCCAATATTGCAGCGAGCACCACAGGGGTGGCCCGTGGGCAGGTTGGCGGGTGGTGGTGACACACCAGACATGTCCCTGTGCCGCTGCCCCTTTCACACGGCCCTCGTGCCTCCTTCCTCCCTGCCTAGGTGCACTGGCCTTGACTGTCCACTTGTCTCTTACATGGGCCTGTGACTTCCTCGACAGACCAGACAAGCAAAGTTCCAAGCTGCCTGCTGATTCGGTGTCCCCAGGACACCCAGCGCCTGCAGGGCCATGGAGGGACCTTGGGATAGTGTCAAAATGACAAAAGCAGACATCACAAGGGCCATGTGGGGGCCGAGGCTCCTGACCCATCGCGCTAGTAATGCACATCCAGAGTTCCGAGCTTGGGGGAATTTATTGAGAGCATCTTTCGTGCACCAGAGGGAGCTGAGTTTCCCTCCAGCATGGCGGGTGTCCCAGCTGGGCGCGCTACTTGGTAGGCCACACTGCAACGACCACAATTGCCACGAGCAGCAATAAGATCACCATTATCATCCCTGAAAAACAAAGCAGAAAGACCCCTTTTAATGATTCATTCCAGCAAAGGGTCACCCCTTCTGGTAACTGTCTTCAGAGAGGTTAGCAGGTGCAATTCCCGGTATGTCATTGTCCTCTGAGCCCTCAGTTTGTGCCCCTGTGTGTCGTGGTGTCAGCAGCCCCGGGCATTGCTGCTGCTGTGCAACTTGGGCTTTGCAGGCCGGTGGGGCAGAAAGGTGGGGTTCTGAACTCTGGAGTCCACCTCGCCACCTGAAGAGTTGTGCAGCCAGGTGGGTGCCAGCACCCCTGAGAGCAAGACGGGGGGACCTGGGAGAGGCCTCCCGCTCAATCGCAGGTGAGGGTGTGTGTGTGCAGGTTTATTCTGCTGTCTTGGTGAGACACTGATAAAGCAAAGGGCTTTAGGTTTTACAACGAAATAGCCTAGCTTCCACCGTTTCCAGTGACTTGCTCTTTTCTTTTTCAGCTTCTGCCACCCATCAAGATAGCCAATACAAGGATATAGTTCTTCATTTATATTTCTTTTTTTTGGTTAATTTTAATTTTTTAAATTTAATTTTATACATTATTTTTCATTTGCACACAATGTATGCATTTTCATTTGATTATATTCCTCACACAATTCCCACACCCCTTATTTTGACCCTAATCCCTCTTCCCCTCCCCTCCCCAAACCCCTTCCCACCCTGTACTGTGTCTCTGGTTTATAGTTGCTTGTTGATTTTTTTACTTTATACCATGGAATATTACTCAGCAATCAAAAAAGATAAACTCAGGCCATTTGCAGCAACATGGATGGCGCTGGAAGGGATCATGCTCAGCGAAATAAGCCAGAAAGAAAAAGAAAAATACCGGATGGTCCCACTCATAGCAGGAATCTAGAAAACCTAAATTAGGGACCAGGAAAAAGACTAATCATTTATATTTTTTAATGCAAGTATTTTGGTTTTAGTTTCCAAAGCTTTTGGCTGGGGAACACAAAAGGAGGGCATCAGCCTCCCAGTCAGTCTGCTCCCTGCATCCAGCTCTGCCTGCCAGCCCCGCTCTGCCTCCTCAGGCGCACATGTCGGCTTATCCTCACCCACGCGTCCACCGACGACCAAGTGGCCACTAGAGGACACAGCCCCTCCCACCCAATGAACTCACCGGCTCCCACAGCCAACTCCACAATCTCTACTGGGGCCATTCCATGCCACCACAGCCAACTCCACAGTCTCTACTGGGGCCATTCCATGCCAGCCAGCTGGGGCGAGCGTGGACATGGAGGAGCAGCGACAGGGTGGGGCTACTACAAAAGCAAGCATCCCCCAAATGTTTGCTTAGTAAAGGACCCCTGAGCTAGACACACCAGAAGAGAAGCAAGGATCAGATGAGAAGCAGCATGTGAAATGTTGCATAAATAGCTGAGTCAAATGCACAGGATCACGTGGCTGTTGTCTCTCAGGACTGCAAAGGAGCTGTTTCTGGAAACAGACGGAGGAGCTGTTTCTGGAAAGACCAGAGCCCAAAGAGTTCAACTACTTGTTCTCTTATAGGAAGCCACAAACACATTATTGATCTTATTGGCTACAAAGCCACTGGCCACATCTGGCTATTCGGATTAAAGTTGAAATTCAGTTTCCCGAATGCACTAACCATCATCTCAAGTGCCCAAGGGCCACCTGTGGCCAATGGCTACCATATTGGACAGAGATGGCACAACACATTTTTTTTTTTAAATAATAAATTTTATTTTTATATTCCCCCATAAAATTGCAAACGCCCCATTCTGACCCCAATCCCTCCCCTCCCGCCCCCCACCCCCCAAAAAGTGTCTCTGGTTCATAGTTTTTTGTTGATTTTGATTTTCACTTTCTTATAGTTATTCATTTTCCTGGTCCCTTATTTAAGTTTTCTAGATTCCTGCTATGAGTGAGACCATCCGGTATTTTTCTTTTTCTTTTTGGCTTATTTCGCTGAGCATGATCCCTTCCAGCGCCATCCATGTTGCTGCAAATTGCATGTGTTTATCTTTTTTGAATGCTGAGTAATATTCCATGGTGTATATGTACCACATCTTCTTGATCCAGTCATCTATTTTTGGGCATTTGGGCTGTTTCCAAAGCTTAGCTCTTGTAAATAGTGCTGCTATAAACATAGGGGTGCAGGTGTTCTTTGGAATTGATGTTTCTGTGTCCTTTGGGTAAATACCTAGGAGTGGAATTGCTGGATCCTATGGAAGCTCTATGTTTAGTAGGTCCAGAAATCTCCACACAGCTCTCCACAGTGGTTGGACAGTTTGCACTCCCACCAACAGTGCAGAAGAGTTCCTTTTTCTCCACACCCTCGCCAACATTTGTTGTTGCTAGTTTTTTTAATATGTGCCATTCTCACTGGTGTGAGATGGTATCTCATGGTAGTTTTGATTTGCATTTCCCTGATGACAAGTGATGTTGAACATTTTTTCATATGCCTGTTGGCCATTTGCATTTCCTCTTCAGAGAAGTTTCTTTTTAGCTCTTCTGCCCATTTTTTGACTGGATTATTTTCTTTGTTGTTGCTGAGTCTCATCAGCTCTTTGCAGATTTTTGTGATCAGTCCTTTATCATTAGTACAACACATTTTTATCATCGTAAAAAGTCCTACTGGACAAACGACAGCATAGAGTCTAATTATTTTGTTTTTACTGCTCCATTGCCACCTTCCACCATAGTGTCTGGAGTGCGAACTCAGTACACATTTGTTCAACAAATGAATGAACCGCTTCAATGTCTCGTCAACACTCCCTCTACCTGTGGCTCATTCTCCGCATTGGGAGCTCTGCTTTCCCTCCTTCTAGAGTCAGTTATTGTTAAACAATATTTTTCCGGGAAATAATTCATTTTTTTCCTGAGTATTCCAAAGTATTGGCATAAAGCAGCTCATTAGATTCTCCTCTCAATGCTATAGCACAACTATTCCCTTCCCTTCCAACACCATTGCTTGTGCATTCTTTGTCCCTTAATTACCCTCGCCACAAGTGTCTCTTATTAATCTTTACACAAGTACACATTTTGGCTTTACTGGTCATCTCATTTTGTTAATTTCTGCATTATTTTTATGAATCTTACCATTGATAGACCTTCTTTGAAATTACTTTGTAGTCCCTTCTCTAACTTCTTGAATTAAGTTAACCCATTAATTTTCTATCTTTCTTCTATATACTACCCCTGTGAGCCTGAAAGCTTTGATATGAAATAATTACACTGCTGTTAGTTTCTAAATGCTAAATATTTACAAATATTTAGAAGCATGCTTTGAATTTTCCAATGGCATTGAAATACACTTATCAAAATCTGTATTTAAAAAATCTGGAGATGAAGAATACATGTGCCACATCTTGGTGTGAAAATACCTGATTTCTATCAGTGGCAAAGTCACAAATACTGATAATACCACTGTGGTTTGTTTCCTACCTCTTTAAAAAAAGAATAGTTGAGTTTTATTGGGGAAATACATTCTTGTCTTTTTGAAACTGGGTTCTTTTTATTGAGGTGACAATGGTTCACAACACCGTGTGTGAGTCTAGGTCATACCTCCTCAGAGGTTACAAGCACCCAAAATCTTCCCTCCCAGCCCACTGCCCCCTCCAACCCTCACCCCTGTGCCCAGAAGCTTCATTCAATTCTATAGTCAGATTTCTAGGAATAGTTTTGGTTATGATTTTCTGTTTCTCTGTTTAGTTTCCAATATTCCACACATGAATGAAATCATCCAGTAGTTGTCTTTTTCTTCTGACTTATTTCACTTAGCATCACCCCCTCCAGTTCCAACCAAATTGCTTCCTCCCTTCTAAACTGAAGAAAATTCTAAATCGGAATTGGAAGTTAATGAAAATAGAATGCAATTTGCTTTCCCATCCAAATTCACAGACTCCCTGGGTTCTCCACCACTCTCCAGGGTTCAATGTAGTTTAGGGGGGATACATTTAAAAACCCCTCCCATGTATAACACAGCATGTCCATGGTTTCAAATACCGAGAAAGGACTTAAAAATATATGGCAAGCTTCTTTGTCCTCTTCCTGTGAGAGTGGGCAAATTCTTTTTCCTAATAAATCTCTTTCTCCGATGATCTAGTCCTAAGAGCGAGCCCATTCTCAGGAACTTGAGGTTTCTGCCCCCCGCCCGCCATGTTTTCATGTGGACATAAACCCACACCTCTACATCATGGTTGGCAAACTGGCCTATGTGCAACCCATGTGCCAAGAATATTATTATGGTTTTAAAGGGTTATCAAAAAAAAAAAAAAAAGCAGCCCCTGGGTTGTCCAGCCACTGCTTCCCATCATCGTGGCTGATAATGACTCAGTGTGCTCTCTTAAGTTCTGCTTTCCTGTTCTCTCTACATTTCTTTCAATTAGGATGGTATGGGCACCAATCATCTCCGTCACCAGAACACCTTCAGGTTAACTAAAAGTTACACAGGGACAGGAGTCCTTCTTAGTTGGGGTAAAAGGCTGATATTCTCAACATCTAGAAAAAGGAACAGAAATGGAAGAAGCCGCTAGACCAAGGTGGGAAGTTGGGGGGCATGTGCTGCCCTCTCGAGCCCAGACCTACAGACCATGGGCAGCACTGAGTTTCTGAGCACGGAAGAAGGCGCTTCAGGAAGAAATTTTGCCCTGACGCACAGGCAGGATCAGAGTTGGGGGGAGGACCTGGGCCTGAGAAGCTCTTTGTGCCACCAGGTTTCTAGACCAAAGCTAAGATGGTCCAAGGAGAGGACAACACAAGTGACCTGAATTTTCAAAGCAGGAAAATCACAAGATTAGCAGGATGAGAATAACTGGTTAGGGAGTAAAGTAAACAAAACAGAAATGGACTTTTAGTTTATGTACACAAAGCTCGAACTCCAAGGGAGGAAAGCTCAAAGCATCAGCAGTGACCAGCACCCTCTGCCTGGGTCCCCGCAGTGTACCGACCTGCTGCTCTTCACCTGAGCCATTCCCCACGAGGGAGCAGGAAGGTAAATCGGATTAGCTTCCTTCTTGGCTTAAAACTCACTGGTGGCTGAAATTGAAATCCAAACTCTATGGTGGCCTGGAAGGGCCTGCTGCCCCTGAAGCCATGTTCTGTCAGCGCCCTAGCCATCTGGCTTTCCATTTCTCCCACAGGCCGTGCCCCCACAGTGCTTCTAGCCTTTATACACCCGGCCGCTCCGCTGAGAGCGCCGCTCCCCTGGGCAGTTAACCCCTGCCGTGTCCTCCAGAGTGCACATCGGTGTCATTTCTTTTAGGAACTGCTCCCAGCCCTCCCATGAGCCATGCTTCCCTTGTCCCCTCTGTGTCTCTGCGGTGACCCTTCCCAAACCATGCTTTGGGTGCTCAGTTGGTGACAGTCTCAGCCACTGGCAGGCCGCACCTCTGACAGGGACGATGTCTTCACCACCATATCCTGAGCACCTAGAACAGCCTGGCTCACAAAAGTACAATCAATTCCTTTTCATGCACTTGAGCAAAGGCACTGGTTTTTGGAAAAGACAAGAAGACCCAATAAAGACATAGATGGAATAGTCAACAGGGAGAGAGGCCGAGAGTGTGTGGAGGCGGCCAAGAAAAAAATTCAAAAAGTGGTCTAAACTAATCAATAGACACTGCAGTGACCCCAGGGGGACAGGCCTTTAACAGTAGTTTTAGCAGAAGCGCGAGTGGGCAGATCTAATGGGAGTATTAATACAGAATTGCTTTCAAAGCTGCTGATTATCCTGTCACAGAGACCGAATTACACAAACTGTGCTGCAGTGAAGGGTGACGAGATGCAACACTGTGGAAAATGAAAGGTCCCTCCGGCGAATGACACCGCAGATAGTGAGCAGATGTGGCAAACGGAGTTCTTGCCCAGAGATGAACAAGGGACTTTGAGAGCAGCGGTAAGTAAGACATGTTAACCCCTCTCCATGCAAACAGGGACGTTCTGGGCAGGAGACTTCACCAGGTTTAAGTAAACCAGTGTGAACCGAGGGTCAGTGAGGAAATCAAGTTAAGATGGCAAGCGATGGTGATAAGCAAAAGTCACCTGTGGCTTTTTAAATTCTTTGGGTCAAAGAGAAGGTGTTTACATCGTACCACCGCAGTCCTTTCTTTTAGTTTGACTTTCCTGGAATGTGATCACAGCTCTGGCACCTGCCTCTGAAGGATGTTTCAGGAAGAGGAATCAAGGTTCTTTTTAAAGCCAGGGAGGGCTAGGCCATGTCATACACGGAATATTTGCGAGTTTTGGGTTTTGCGTGAAGGGCTAGAGATGAATTCCCTCGTGTCATTCCCAGCAACGGGTAACTTTTACCTCTATTTTATTATTTTATGGGAGGGAGCTGAGGTTCTGGATGGCTAACTCTCTTGCCTAAGGCCATACAGCTGACAAGAGGAAGAGCTACTGGGATCTAGTTGGAACTGAACCCCCATACATGCTCTTCGCCCCTTTCCTGCACCATGGGGCCTCTCCAGGAGGATCCTAACTCCTGATGGAATGTGGGGCTTGTCAGGGAGAGAGGCCCAGACTCCTCGAGGCTAAAAAACTGGGATAAAGAGTTCGTTTTTTCTTCCTCTTCCCTCCTTCCCTTCCACTTTTTACGGTGGAACTGAAAACACACACATACAAGATGACAGAAGAGTAAATGGATGATGCTGCAGCCATCACTCAGCTTCAGCTAGTATCGATTTCATGGCCGACCTGCTTCTATCTCTACCCTCTCCTGCTCCTTGTCCCCAGTGTATTCTTTTGAAGTGAATCCCAGACATATTTCATCTACAACTGCAGGATTTGCAGATGAGTAAGTAGGAGAGGGCACCACTGAGAAGAAACCACCACCACATATGAGCACAGAGGGGTTGAGACAGAGGCTCCAACACTTCAGACGCAGGCACAGGGCTGGAGCCGAGAGGACGCAGGGCCTCTGGGGAGCGCGTGGGTAGCACTCAGTCATACTGGACAGAGAAATCGCCTTTCTTTTGCCTCAGAGCAGTGCTTTAACCCTCAGGGGGTGTAGTCATCCCCAGCTAAGGAAATGTTTGACATTTCAGAACGGGGAAAGACAGTTGAACTTCTGGGAACCTGCCAACTTCTTAAACAATGAATGCTCTTTGCCCCCAAGCCCGGCACAAAAACACCTGGCGAGGCCCTGACAACGGGCTCTCAGCCTCCGCGCCTCACTCAGCTCCCAGCACGGGTGCTGGCGAGGCTGATTTTCCCTTCTCATCCCCAAATGCCCCTGCCAGGGCAGCCATGGGTGCCAGAGTTACAAAAGTGGAAAAAAATGTCCATTTCCTTTGGTCAGTTTACCAGATGAGTATTACTCAACCACTTACCATATTTACAAGTCCAACTTGGAGCAATTAAAAAAAGATGTAAGAAAACAAACTCCTTTTCAAACAGGGAAAGGATATGAAACACGGTCTCTCAGGAACAGTGTTGCGTTTTCTGGAGATTGTTCATCTGTATTTATGGTCTTTCTTTTTTTTTTTTCCAGTGAAACACTGGAAACCTGCGCATTAAGGCGGCTGTGCTGCCACCTCTGCTACAGCGGAGCACAGGCAACAGCTAGAGCTACAGCCTGGGGAGGAGGGGAAGGGGCAGGGGGAGGGGAAAGGGGCAGGGGGAGGAGGAGGGGAGAAGCAGCATGGGTGGAGTCTGGCTTTTTTTGAGAGTGAGGGCAGACCTCTGCATGGGCCACTCTCCCCTTTAGTGCAGGGGAATGTGCGAGAGAGCAGGGGGGACGGAGGGGTGACAGGGAGGGAGGGATGAAGGGGAATTTTGTCTGGAAGTCCTATCTGGTTTTATTTGTCCTAGGACAGCCACACTGGCTACCTGTTACTGTTGGCTGGTTTGAACCAAACTATATAGTCTTAATGTCTCGTCCACCTTATATTTCACACTGGAAGAGTCAGGGCCCACAAGCAACTCTCATGCAGTGAACCGCCTTGAACAATCCACCGAGGGCATTTCTGAAAGACTCCTGTTTTTTCTTCACCCCAGTTGTGCCCATCAATAGGTGACATTTGCTTATGTATTAGCCACTTGGTTCTCACTGATCAAACGGATTTTTTTACAGCGGACTCCTGAGCTAAGGTGGGGAATAAGCAGGAGAAAAGACAAAACTGGAGTATTTGTTTTCAAAAGTTCATGTAAATGTTCCCTTTAATCCCATTACTGGGCAAATAAGCTAAGAAAAGAGTAGACGCCGCGCAGAGAAGGTGAACATATTTACACTTTGATTTTGCAGATTGAACGCCTGGAGAATTGCAGTCACCCTTGAGATCACCCCATGGCCTGGACCTGCCCACTGCGGAGCTGTTTGCTTTGCGGCCAGCTGTGGGGACTGCTGAATCCTCAGGCAGGCCCGGGTGCTTGGCAGGGGGTTTGGGTGTGCCTGGCACTGAGGGTGGGAAGATGGGCATCTACTGTCTCTCATCTCTCCCCTCTTGAATCTATTTCACCCCATGTTTTAATTTCCCCCAACTAGTGCTTTCCTTAGAACACTGAGCAAAAGTCTCTGATTTGTTGAGTTTGCTTTTGTTCTTACCTGGCATTCAATCCCCCCCTCCAGACTTATTCTTCCTGTTGGTGGGTAAACCTTCCATGGGAGCTCCAGGAGGCCCACCCATCTCCTCTTCCTCATCCACCCCAAACCTTCTCACCTACCAGGGGCCATCGCCTTGAGCGCTCGGCTCAGACCCCACCTCCTCAGAGGGCCTCTCAGCCCAGGAAGAGCGCACCTCCCATGGCGTCGGAGTCGCACACACAACTAGGTATTGCTTTTAAACAACTGTCCTCCATTTTTAAATTCTTAATATTATTTGTTGATATTTCTTTCCTTGGGTCACAGGAGTTCCAAAAACCAGGATCATGCAGTCTGGCATGGTGGGAGAGACACTGGCTGGGGACTCAGGGAGACCTGACTTCAAACCTGCTAGCTAACTTCAAACCTTCCTAGCTGTGGGATGCTGGGAAGTTTCTTAACACTGAGTTTAGTTTCACCACCTGTAAAACAAGACTAAAATATGGATTTCATAAGCTTGTTGTGGAGTACATTAAAGCTTCTAGAACATAACTGCCACTCCATAAACAGAGCTATGAGGACAACAATTATCACTTCTTGTCCTGCCCCTTCATGAGAAGAGTGTCTGTGGGCAGCAGATGCCCCATAAACATCCTGTGGGAGAGCTGGCCTCTTGGTTTAACAACAGAAATAAAATGTCATTCATTCCAAAAGAGAAGGAAGAGGAACAAAAACAGAGGAACACCTGGGTGGCATTTCGTTTAGAAACAGAGAGCCCAGTTCCAGCCGAGGCCCGGCAGTGATGACGGGTGGCTGGGAGAGGTTGGAAGTTCAGAATGGAATATCTGGCAGCTTCCGTTTCCGTTATTAGCCACAGGAAGGGCAGCTGTGCTGGGCGAAAGCTGGCTGAAGTCAAAGGCAAGCAGAGCACAGCCAAGTGGACACCAGGTGAGAGAAGCTGTGAGAAACTGAAATGTGAAAGGCCTTTGAGGAAGGGAAGGTCAGAGCAGGGCCCACGCGGAGCGGGTGGTCACAGGCAAGACTCGGAGAGGGCGAAGCAAACCCAGGGCATGCTCTGAGGTTCTGTCCAGCGTGGTAACAGGTTCAGCAACCAGGAGGTCAGGCAGAGAGGGACTTGGGAGTCTGGGTGCTCTTGCTATGATGGCGGGAGTGATGCTGAGTATGCTGATAAAAACAATGCAGTACAACAAGGATGCAAGTGAAAATCAGAGCTTCTGCTGTGCCAGGCAGTGCGTGTGCTCCAAGTTTCACTAACTTATCCCATATTAGTCTCGCCATCGGGCAATGAGTTAGTAGGTCAATAATTTCCCCCAATTTAGGTAAGAAAATGGAAGGTCAAGAGGCCGACTGCTCTGCACTATCCATGAGCGAGTGCTGTGAAGGCAGCAGGCCCCTAGCAGGGCAGGCTTTGGGCAAATGGCCACATTCATGCCGGCAGCATCCTGGTGCACGGCCTGACTGGGGGAGCAGGAGCTCAAGATGGGAGGTAACCCGGGCAGGGGGAAGGAGACCCACAGTCTGTGACAGAGAAGTGACAGTGCAGCTCCTCGAAGAAATACATTAGAAGGCAAAGCATGAGCCTAGAATCTGCCTATATTTGGGCTTCAACTGAAAACAAAGAAAACTTGAACTTGATCTTGGCTTTATGTCCTGCTGACCAAATGTGCCTATATCTGAAGTGTCTGCCCTTTGACAAGATTACGAACTAGCAACACGGTGCAGGGGGATGAGGAGGGCTTCCAAACTCCAGTCAGGTCCCTTGCTAGCCCGTGTGAACAAAGACTCCAACCCCTTGCATTCTGGCATCCTCAGGGGTAAGGTTTCCCAAGGTGGGGTGATGTGATGTTCATAAAGTGAAGGGCCCAGCTCCATTCTGAGAAGCACAAGCTCCCGGAAGGTGAGAATGATGCTCTTCCGTGGAGTGGTGAGCCCAGTGCCCCAGCTGTGTGGGGGCTGGATGTGTGAGATGGAGACACAGGTGCCCTCCTCACACAACAACTCATCCACAGGGGTAAGAAGAGGGCACCAGTCATTTCAATGACAAGAGGGAATGGCCTGGGTAAATAAACTTGAAAAAAGTCAACTTTAAAGAGGGCAGCTGATGGTTAGAAAAGAGGAGGGTATGGAAAGGCCATCTGGAGGCCAGAGTGTGAGGGTGCTCTCAGCAGGGAGCAGGAATAAGGGAAGGTGACCCGAGAGGAATGGGGGTTGGGATAAGGAAAAGAGAGCTTGCTTAGAAACAGGAAATTAAAAAGAATTAAGAAAGCAAGAGACGGGGCAGGGAAGCTGGATGAAAGCCGAGTGAAAGGCAGATTCCTGGGGTCTGGTGGGGGTCAGGTGGCTGTCCCAACCACCAGGCCCCAGTCAATGGGGCGCTGATGTGAGAGGCCATCTCAGCAGTCCAGGGCAAGTCAGGTCACAACAAAGGAGTCACACTTGTTGATCAAGCTATCAGGATGGGCAGCCAACCAAGGGCATTGGCCTGGGTTACATTTGCCTGGGAGAGTTGGACGTGCCCACACCAGAAATCAACTCAACAAATATTTACTGAGTGTCTACTGAGGGTCAGGTCCAGCAGGCACAAAGACACATATCTACTGATGGGTCTCCCAGTCTCATGAGATACGCAGAAAAATCAACTCATCAACGCCTCCCCAGAACAATACAAAACAAAAAACCCTGCAGATAAATCCATTCCTTTGAGAGTGTATGTAACGACTCAACCATTACTGTTGCTTCCTGGACACAAAGTGCGGACTAGTTTCTAGGCCCCATTTGTATTCTGCAAGGCTGACTTATTTCCCTCCCCCGAAATAAGTTTAGCCCAACAATCACCACAATTCAACAGCAGAATTCAACTGGAAATACATAATCCTTCATATCAACAATCAAAAGCAGCTTATTAGGAGTTGTCAAGTCAATAATTGAATACCAATTCTCTGGCACATCAATATTTGCTAGAAACGTCCCCTCATCGTGCCGTGTGTTACCCTGGGGCATGCGAATTTGTCTGGAGTCTGGCAGAAATTCAAGTGTCTTTGAAAAGGCAGTCAAGAACTCTGTCATGGATATCTTGCTTGATAATTCCCTCTTGACCAAGTGTCAAAAGATTTCTGGATGGCTCTAGTCAGGTTATGGATTCACCTCTACAAACTCCTTCACTCGAGCTGTTTGGACTGAGAAACGTCACCTGGTATCCATCAGGGATCCCAGGCAAGGTGACAGGAGGGCTGTGCCTTAGGTAGAGGGAGCAGCCATGAGGAGAAGGCTTTGAGCAATGCACTCAATGCACATCCATTTGATTGTTTTAAATGAGCAAACTGCTTGATCAAGATGCAAAATTCTGCTGAATGGTAGATCTAAACTGAGTCTGTTTCAAACCTCAAAAGAACATGTGAGATGGGGGGCCCAGTAGACACATCTGTTCAATTTGACCCAGCTGCTGGGTCCAGTGATGAAGCGCGGGTAAGGCGAACCAGGTTTTCCTCTCTAGGTATTTGGGATTTTGGACTCAACACAATTGTGGCTCAGTCACAGCAATGGTGACACCCTCAAAGGGTGGGCCACAAACTTGACTTGCCTTTGTTCAAACTCTTCCTGAGACGTGGCTGGTTCAATTATCCCTTATTCTTGCAAGTAACCCAACATCATTTAAATAAATTACATGTTCTTTAGCCTAAACGAGCCAGAGTCATTTCCTGTTACTTGTAACCAAGATCATTCAGTAGATACCATCAGCAAAAATAATGATTTGTCTCTAATCATTTGGAAAAATAGAAAAGTAACAGGAGAACAATTCTGCTTTGCTGGCTTGAGGCTGAAAGCACAGTTCAAAGGCACAGCTCCTCGGAGCTTACCATTTGTGCTTCACCTAGCTTTACTCTGAGGGGGCCAACAGCAATAGCTGTCACCATTAAGAGACCTTCTCAGATACTAACCTTCTCTTTCACAGTCACATATCCTATTATTTTCCAAGGATTCTTTGATTAATGCTACAGATGTCCTGAAAAGACAAAATGAATAGGAGAGACACTCAAGCTCTGGGGCAAGAGGTATGTGGAGCAAAAATCATAGCAGGAGGTGCTCCCTCTCTGCAAACAAAGCTGACAAGAATACCATGGAGGGGGTGAAGTTGTTGTGTAGAGGCTTCCTGTTGGGGATCCCTCCATCCCCAGGGCACTGGACACCTAGGTCAAGCAGGTCCCAGGTGGTGATGTTGCCCCCACAGTGCTTCTAACAGGAGCCACATCCATCATCACTAGTGGGGCTAGACATTTTATGCACATTACATATGAGCTGGCTCAATAAATGTTTAATCAACAAATGAAAGAAACCAAAAGTCCCTACTCCTGATGTGCTTAGGGAAACAAACAATATTGATTATCCTCTGGATTCTGTATCTCTATGATGGCTTTTGATTATTTAACAAATACTGATTGGGGACCTACAGGAATCCAGACACTGTTCTAGGCAGTGGGGATAGAGCAATGAAGAAAACATACAAAACAGAAAGTCCTTCCTTCACTGAGTTGCTGTGTGTGTGTGTGTGTGTGTGTGTGTGTGTGTGGGGGGGGGTGTGTGTGTTAGGGGTGGAGTGGTGAAAACAGACAAAAATCAAAATATATAATGTGCTAGGAGGTGGTAAGAGCTACAAAGAAAAATACAGCTTATCTCTTCCTACTGCATCTGCTAGGTGGTAGCTCAAAGGCATCTCTTCCCTTTCTCTCAGGTTTGAGAGGCAGAGGGGGGAGGGAATGCTGTTACTTTCCAGAAACCAGCCATTCCACAGAGGGATTTGGAAACATATTGCGGGTAAGATTAGGGTGCCTTCCTACATGGCATCAGGAAACTGCCATCCTTAAATGTTAATAATATGTAAGCTTAGAAATAACACATTACAAAAGTTTGTTGGAATGAGGAGTGATGTAATGACAACTGGAAATAGAAAGGGGACTTAAGATGGAGTGTAGAACAAGGCGAGTCAGAGAGGAGGAACATGTCAATGGATTCCCAGCACTTTCCAGAACAGGAGTACCCGCCAGTGACCTCTGCTTGGTCAGTGAAGGCAGTGGTCAAAATGTGGCCTGGTGCAGAAGCAGCGCACTGCTTCTCGGATGGCGACATTCGTCTGAGGGCCTGTTGTGACAGCTCTGTGCCCACACGAAAAGGGTGCTTTGTAAACGGATGGCTGCTGCCTTCCTCACAGTACTCATTGAGAACTGCAAAGCGCCCGCCAATAGCTGGTTGCGGAGATGGCAGGAAAGCCAGGAGGAGGTGGCTGAGGTAGGATGAAGTAGTTGTCACCAAAAGCTTGGAAGAATCTAGGAAAATGCATTCCAACTGAAGTGGGGATCACTCATTTCTGGTGCTTTGGGTGGAGAGCCATTCTGTCATCCGGGAGGCCACGTCTGCCCCCACCTAATCTCAGCATTCCTTTGGCCACCAAGGCAACATGGACTATATATAACCCAGAGCCACCGTCGGGAGGGCAGAAGAAAGATGACTGTTCAGAGGTGTGGGAGAAAAGAAAAATAAGGGCCAGAGGGAGCAGCCAGACGTGATCCTTTCACTTTAAGAGCTTAGCTGTTTCCCAAATCACCAGAACATATGTCATGATTATTCGGTTTGGCTGTGAAGCCCATCCCCATCGCTGAGGTAGAAAAATTAGTTCCACTGTGTTCCAAAGGTCACCCTGCCTTTCAAGTGGTCACCGTGAAGAGATCTCAAGCTCTCCAGCCCACTAACTGCCCGCACCATGTGTCACTTCCCAACCCTGCAGCAAGATGACGAGGACGAAGGGCCTCCCCGGTGGCGCAGCGGTTGAGCGCTGGGTTGCGAAGCTGCCCGCGGCCTCTGCGGTGCCGGTTCGATCCCCGGCTGCTCCCCGGCCACCGGAGGAGGGTCCCACATGGTGCGCAGACCTCTCCTGCCACCCGCTGCTCCCCTCAGCAGTGTACTTCGGTCCTTCTGCCTGCTCTGCTCCCCGCTCTGGCTCTGGTGACTTCTCTCACCCTCCCGCGCTTCTGACTGTACCCAGTGCATGTATAAACAAAAACAAACAAAGAAAGAAAGAAAGAAAGAAAACATGCCTCTATATTAAAAAAAAAAAAATGACGAGGACGGGAATGGCAAACGTGTGCACGCAGGCGAGGCTTCCTTCTGTGGGAGGTCACGTGGCATAAACTAGAGTTGTGCTGTGGGCAGAGAAGTCTGGAGGCTTCATTCCCATCACAGCCCTGCCATTTGGGCACAGGACCCAATCCTCTGAGCTGAAAACCAAGAGAATGCTAACCCTCAGCTCCTGGAATGGCCACGGGGACATAAGGAGCTGAAGTACTCAGCACTGACCACACTAGCTGGCACACGCCCGTCCTCAATGGATATGAGTGCTACTGCCTCCTGGAAGTCATTCTGGTTTCAAAGTGGCATTTACAATCAGTAATCTTTGGATAGAGATGTGTGGGCAGCCCCCCTACACGGAATCACCCGCAGGAGAACGGGACCTGGGAGAAGAGGCAGCTGGCTTCCTGCCCTCAGCTGCTCATGTCTGGCTGCTCCCTCTGGCCAGATCCACTCCCAGCACAACCAAACATGGCAGCCACATATCTCCTAAAAATCTTCAAAGGCTATTATAAAGGCAGATTTTGAAATTTATGCCACACAACATTCTCTAAGAGCCTGTGTGCCTATATGTATAAACTACTTAAGGAGTACTTCAAGAAAATACAATCTGGATTTGCTCTATCATCCGGGATGTGGACCTTCTGCCCAGAGGGCCCCACTGGTCTCCTCTTAGGTCTTGGATCACTATTTAGGGGTACTGCTGCAATGAGGTACTGGGCTGCAGGGGTGGAGTAAAAACATGCGAGCACCCAGGTAGGCTGCTGGCTGTTAGTATCGGGAAGAGAGCCATTCAGCTTTAAGCCCAGGGGGTGTCACCAAAATTGGTGGAGTACAAAAAAAAAAGAGCATCAGATGTTGCTCTACATTGGGTTATAGAAAAGGGACCTCTTTCTAAATCAGCGTGGGGCCTGCAGTCGAGTCTAGGAAACAGTCAGTTGTGACAGGCAGGCAGGCTGCAGCACCTCACAGCAGACTGGATAGTCACTCCACAGGTTTCCATAGCGAGAGAGCAGCCTGTCCATTGTGGAGGAAGCTGCAATAAAGTCACCTCTGTTCAGCATGATTCTCAAATGCTTTTATCATCCCTTAAAGGAAGAGCATTTTATCTGAGGGGTCATAAAACTTGCTTTTCCAGAGGGCGGCTGTCACTTTCAGGTGTGCTGGCAGTGTAGCAGCAAGCAGTCGGTGTTCCTGTGTGAAAACAGAGCTGGGACTGGTGCTCTGTGGTCCCTGTGTGGCCCTGAGCCCCTGACCTGCAGGAGCGGTGACCAGGCAACACTGCCACCTATGAGCCCACGGAAAACATGTGCACGAGATCCTATCTTTCTAGACAGGATTCTAGAATACAGTTAGCCCAAAAACTGCTCAGCAAGGATTCTATTGGTCAGAAGGACGAATAGAAGTATTTGAGGTCCTGGGATTCACGGTAGCCAGGCTGGAATACTGAGAAAGAGCTACACTGAGGAATCAGCCTGAAGGGTGAGGGTCAGGGTGAGAAATGTGACTGACTTCACTTTCAAGGATAAGGCAACTCAGCTTTTAGTCGTCCTTCTCCCCCTTCCTCTGAAGGTGATCAGCGTGTAAGAGGCTTGAATAGACCATAAAGATTCAGTTCAAGAAAGGCATGCTGAAGACCACAACTGAGTGGCCCGACTCACACATCTGTTCCAGCCAATACCAGGTATTTGTATGCATAAAAACACAAAGTATCTGCCTTTCAAATGTGTGTGGTGAGGGCAAAAAAAAAAAAAAAAAAAAAAAAGGTATTCGAGGATAATATTAAAATAATGTCATCAACTTCTACTTATCCACTCTTTTAGAAAAAAGATCAGACCATCCAAAATGTCAGATTTGGCTTTGAAATATTTGTTGGCTTGCATTAAACAAGGTCTGCAGATATTTCAAAAATCATTTCAAAGCAAAATAAAAAAGTTGAATTATGACATGTTCCCAGTGAAACTCTCAACATGCCATCTCTCTCACACCTCTGTGCCTTGGCAGAAATTATTCACACTGCTTTCGAGCCCTCTGCCTGCTTCTACATACCCAGGAACCAGCACCGGCTTTAGGCCTCAGCCCAAATTGCTCCCTCCCCAAGGACACCTCTCCTAAGTCCTGGGACTGAATACATATGTTACAAAAGCTAACTTATTTCTTGGGTAAATTAACAATTGGGTTCCTGGCTTATCTTCCCTAATAATGTGTAAATTCTCTGAGACTCAGGACAGACCAAGCATTTCTGTGTCTGTGTCCCCAGCATGTTATCCACAAGGGCCTAGCACAGGCTATGCATGATAGATACTCCATATATTTGTGTTTTGGTTGACCGGGTAGTAAGTAGCTCATTGTTTAGACTCAAATAGTGCTTGGGACACTGAGTCAATAGTATGGATTTTAACTGACATTTCAGTCGGTGGGAGTTAATGTGAGGGCAGTTGAGCAGCCAGATACTAAGTACTTGGCATGTGGTAAGCACTCACTAACATGTGTTGAATAAATGAATGCAAGAATATAAACTAGCAGCAAAACAAGCTACTAAGGAGTATTGGTTCTGGTACAGTTGGCATTATCCTCACAATCAATACATTGCCCATTGGTAGGTAGTGATGTGAATTTAAAATGCTAGAAGAACATATTGTATCTTTTGGGTTTTTTTTTTTTTTTTTTCCAAATAAATGAACAGAATTACATTTAGTGACAAGTTGGGATTTCACCAGATGCTTCACCAGGGCTTCTTTCTAACACAGATGACTTAGACACGCAGTTTTCATTCAAGTGGACCCTTTCTTGTGTCCAATTCCAGTTTACTCTTTTTAATCATTTAATCCAGTTTAATCATTCCCTGGTTACAGGGAATGAATCACTCTGGTCGCCCATATCACTGGAGGAAAAGACCAGAAATCACTGAGGCTAGAAAAGCCAGGTTTACGTTTAGAGCAGTGTGACCCACAGTGCCCTCTCAGGCACATCAGCGTCACCGAGGAGCCCATGAGAAATGCAACTTCAAGGGCCCCATGTCACACCTGAAGGTTGATCTCCGAGGATGAGGCCAGGACTCGGGTTTTAACAAGCCCTCTTGTGATTCTTCTCACCAAGGTTTGGGGTTAGGAACAAAAGCTCACTAGAAGTTCTCTGCATCATAAAGCCAAGTGTCATCTGTTAACATGAGGTGGCTCTCTCGGGGCATGGTGAGGACAGTGGTCTGGGAGTCCTCAGCTGATAGGGAGGCTGCTGTCCTGGGGGCAAAGCAGGCACTGGACGGCTGCCCCTGTGGGTAAGGAGCACCCACCTGAGATGTGTTTGACATTCGAAATTCAGTTGCTGTCACAATTCACCTCGCGCCCCACCTGAGTATTACCTCACCTGATGTTACCATTATCTCTTGACAGGGGTTTCTGTCTGAAGAAACCTGCAGGACTAGAGCAGCCGCTGAAGCGGCCAAAACAGTGTTCTTCCTTCAAATTCTCAAAGAATAGTCTCCAGGGGACAGCACTGGTCCTGCAGACTTTTCTATTTTGCTTTAGGTCGACACAGATGGCCTTAGCTGCTCGGGAACTTTGCCCCTTCTCCTTTCTCACAGCAGCAGAAAGGCCCAAGAGAAGAAGAACCTCTGATGAGAGCTGCACAGCAGGAGGAAGAGGCACGACCTGAGCTTCCCATGTGGTTGGTGGAGCCGATGGGCCAGTGCGACATTTGCTCAGGATTCTAAAGCACTAGGTGCAAAGTCAGTCAGAAGGAGGTGCTTTCTCACACATATGCAGCTGCCCACAGCTGCCCCACACCATCCAGAGGGTACCCCGAAGCCAGCATGCTGGAAAGCTAGTGCTAAAGCACAGGCAGCCACTCTGTTAACAGCCTTCTCTGAGCACTGTGGGTGAGGAAATGAGCGAGGGAATGCCTAATGATTAGTTCCTTATGGCCCTTACATTCTTGAAGTATATTCTTTATACCCGCTGGAACACTTCTGCATTCTTGATAGCGGGATTGCAATATAAGTTCTTTCCTTTCAGAACACTGTCTTTTATTGACACACTAAAATATCCTAGGAGCAAGATTGGCCTTCCCTCCCACCTCACAGCCCTCCTTCACCATGGCCACACTCTCCACGCCATTCCTTGTTCTCTTTCTAAGAATGCAATAAACATTTCAGCACAATCTTTTCAATCCACATTATTTATAATATTCTGAACATCCATCGAGCCTGGCTAAAATGCTAAGTAATAAATCACACTTAACAACAAAAAAGAAAGGGGGAGAGGGAATCACCCCCTTGGCTAGGTTAAAGCCTGAGACATTTCATTCCCCGAAGGGTTTAGTTATGTTAGGAAAAGTGAGATGGGATGAGACTCAAGGTTTAGAATGACAGAGTCAGGAACTGGAATCTATAGGCATAATCATAACTTTGTATAAATCTCAAACAAACTTACCTCTCGGGGGTGTCATGAGGATAAATGAGCTACGTGGGAAGCACTCTGAGTACAGAGGCTGAAAGCAATTGGAGCCCCGTTCTCCTTTCTGGGTCTAAAAGGTCATCTTCTTGGAACAGAGAAGCTAAAAAGTCCTCCTGCTCTCCTGGAGATCCAGTCTTTGCTAATTAACATCCCTTGCACAGGTTCAAAGGTGGCAGGGCTGAGCCTTGAGGTGGAGCTCCAGGGGCATGGCCTGGGTAGGTAGTGTGACTATTGCAGCCTGGTTGCCAGGGTCCTGGCTCCGGTGGCCCCCTCAGTGGTGACAACACTTTACATGCCCTCGCCCCTCCCCCCCTTGCCACCACCCCTGAGGAACACCCCAGGCCACACACAGAGGGAGGTCTCTACAGAACTATCTGCTCTTGCCCAGTGGGGGAGGGAGGTGGCGGGGAGAGTAGAACTTGTCCCACGTCCATACTGTGTGGCGCTATGCAGGTTTATATAGTCTGACTTCCTCACAAAGAAAGAATCTGGCTCAAGGGCTTGCTGATGATTTCAAAATTTATCTAAACAAAAGCGGAGGCCAGCATAGGCTATTGGCTAATTGCATAATTGGCCTGAGGCCTTTCTGCTTTGGCGATTTCCCACTCATTCCAAATCTCGCACTGGAAATCCAAGCTGCTCAGCCTGGCCACGGAGCAGGCGTGTGTTTACATGGCTAGACCTCAACTCAGCGGCTCTGCTGGTGTACAGTCTGATGTGTGCTGCAATCTGCTCGACGTGGTCCCTTTTGACAGTTTCCTGGATATGAAGGGCTGCTGCTTTCCCATTCGTGTTGAATGGAGTTGAATGTAAGATTAGAGTCACTGAATCAACCCATATTTTTATCATTTCAGTCTCATAACCATAACCAGTTGGTCACGAGACTTTCCTGCAAGAAAGTAATGCTTTTTATTAAAACTGGCATACTTGCCAACTAATCTAGCTTCACAGCTCTAGCACTTTGCATTTCAACTGGCCAGTGCTCTAGAAGGGATCTGGTACCAGCTTTATTTTGGTCATCACTTCTACCAGTAAGTATTCCCAAAAAGCAAGTTATAGATGATATCCACAACTGTTTAAACAAAGTCTCAAAATACAACAATTTCTTGGTAATGTCCCTAGGTCAAAGGGACCACCAAAATCTTCATTACTCGATGATGACAGTTTATGGTCTGTTTACCACTTCTACTTCTTTTGCTTCTCACAACTTCTTAAGCTCTAGAATAGCAAAACTGAGAGGTTTACCCAGACCACTTGGGTTTCTTCCTCAGTATATTTCCACTCTCACTTCAAAGTGCCATGGGGACTTCCTTCCCTTAGGTCTTTCCTCCTAGGCTGAACTCTTATGACCTCAGAGTTTGCTCCTTCACTTTGAAACAGAGGGCTGAGCCACTTGGTGGCTGGGAAACCACTGCCTCTTCCTTTGGCGCCCTCCCCTGGGCTACCTTGGCCCACTTAGACACGCTATCTTCTGTCTGCACTCACACAGTATCAGTGACATGTAAGGGATGTTGATCCCATGGCTTTAGACCCTGAAGGCTTGAGTTCAAATCCTGGTTACCCTACTTCCCATCTGGGTGATTATGGAAGAGCTTCTGAACCTGATTTTGCACCTCAAGGTAAAACAGAATAGCTATTTTTCTTATTAAAACCTTTACAGACATGTCTCGTGTTGTGCCTAGAGTCCCTTCAAATGGGATCTCTTTTGACCAAAGCTCTGGTTGAGGGGTGAGCCAAGGCAGTTGTGGTTCATGCCCCATGATTTTATCCATCAAACCACAGTGACTTGGGCATGCAGAGAGAGGTTGGCCAAAGCACAGGCTGGCCAGCAGCCTCTGAAACATTTCAACCCAGCACATAAAGCTGAGTTGGGTAAACAGATTCTTTTCTCTGGAGTTGAACTAGGTAATAAAAACCAATGCTGGTTTGCTATGTCTGCTAGCTTCCCACGAATGGTGACATGTGTTCTTAGATTCTTTCCTTTTTTTTTTTTTTTTTGTTGATAATGTGAATGAAGCTGTTTTTCCCCCAACCCAAATATCCCTGTAAAGAACAAATGTTTAATATATATCTCATGGTACAGAGATACGCATGTTAAACAAAGACTAGATACTGGCTTAAAGGAATAAATTTCTAGTTGCAAAATTTGGTGTTGGAAGATGGTTGGAAGGTTTTCCATTACTTCTGAAATCAATTTTTTAAGGTCATCAGTGAGATAGTGAAGACAGATGATTCAGTCATAGTCACCTTAAATCCACCCCATTTCAAATCCAGATTTCAGCATCTGTAGATTTAATCAGGATGAAAGTCTTCATGACTTAGGATGAATAAAGAACTAACTCTTTTCTGGTTAATTTCCTTGTTACTCTGGAGAAGTCCCTACCACCACTATTTCTCAAATGAGAAGTCTTGAAGCTTTTTGGAGTGCAAGGTGTAAGTGGAACAAGGAGTAAGAAAGACGAGTTGGAAATGATAGCTGCTGAAAGTTTTCGAGAACAGGACTTAAATGTCTCATGATGTGGTCTAGGCTGAGTAGAAAGGAGAGAAGCCAGTCATCCAGCACCCATCACAAACCCAATTTGTGCCTGGCACCATGTTGGATGTGTGAATGTGCTGGTCAGACAGACACGATACTTGGTCCCAAGAAATGTACAGGTTGATGGGAGAGAAAGACATTCAGATAATCACACAATGAAATAACTGCAAGTCATGGATAAGGTCTAAGAAGGATAAGTTCTAATAAGTTATTATAAGAACTAGTTTAATGGGGTGGTCAGACAGGGTCTTCTGAGGAGGTGTTAAATGAGGACCTCAAAGTTAAGAATTCAGCCACAAGAAAAGTTAAGCAAAAACATTCCAGCTAGTAAGAGCAACAAGCACAGAACACTTGGGAAGTGTAAAGCACAGAACACTTGCATGAAGCAACACTTGCATGAAGCAACAAGCAAAGAACACTTGCATGAAGTGTAAAGAAAGCCACTTAAGCTAGAACTGGTCAATGAGAATGAGAGAAGCCAAGATGAGTTTGGTGCGACAGCGAGGAGCTAAATCCTACAGGGCCCTAGCGGTCATGGTAAGGAGTTGGGCTTTCTTCTAAGTATAAGGGAAGCCCTGATGAATTTAAACAGGAAACAATATTTCATTTATATTATGCAGTCCTTTATGCTACCATGTGCAGATTAGACTGGAGGGTATATCCTCTGGGTTAAGACCTTTTGAACAACTATTTGAGAAAACTATTTCCAATAATTATAATAGCATCCAGGAAAGAGGGTGAGGTAGAATGGTGTGGTGGCAGTAGAGATGGAGGGGTTCAAATTATATTTTACAGACAATCTCCAGGGCATCTTTTTGGATAAAAAGGGACAGGGTTGAGAGAAGAATTAAGACTTCTACCTCGAATAACTAGTTCAGTGGTGCCATTAACTGAAATAGAGAGAACAGGGAGATTCTCAATACGCTACAGAGGGGTTTGAGATGCCAAATAAGCAGTAGGATGTGCAGTGTAAGTCTGGAGCTCAGAAAACAGATCTTCACTGGTGTAGTGGTGCAGATGCAGATTGAAAGGCCAAAGAAGAATGAAGAGAGGAACGCTCACGGGAGGTGCAGAGGAGTCTGAAGGCGAGAGGAAGGAAGAGTATGGATCCATAGATAATAAAGAGGGAGAATCAACAAGAATCAACATTTGACTGGATGCAGGGGGCTGAGCAAGAGGGAAGAGCTGGGAATGATCCATGAGTATTTGGCTTGAAGAACCGAGTGGTTGGTGGTCTTGTTCATCAAAATAGAAAATAGAGACAGAAAAGCAGTGCTGGAGAAGATCATGAGCCCAGTTTTAGACATCTTGGGTATTATTTCAAGTAAGTTTTGACAGCACAGTGTTTGCTTTTCTTCCCATGGGATTATAAAGAACTTGTCTTTTGGGCGAGCAAGGCATTGGGGGGAAAATTTCCTGTTCTGGTGGGCAGTTGAGAGGATCTATCTATTTTAAATATCTGCAATGTGAAGCACACACAGTCCCTCTGAGTCACCAGGGATGTGTCAAAAGGGGTAGGACATGGGTCTAGCATCAAGAGCTGGTAAAGGCCTCTCCTTAACGCCCTGTCAGATGCTAAGGCTGATGCCACTTTCCAATTTCCCTCATTTACCTCAAGATTCCCAGAATATTTTATGTTTTTATAGATTTGATAATACCTTTGTTGGTACTTGATATTTTCTTTTCTTTTTTTTTTTTTAAAGATTTATTTATTTATTTATTTATACAAGCACTGGGTACAGTCAGAAGCGCGGGAGGGTGAGAGAATTCACCAGAGCCAGAGCGGGGAGCAGAGCAGGCAGACGGACAGATGGACGAAGTACACTGCTGAGGGGAGCGGCGGGCGGCAGGAGAGGTCTGCGCGCCATGTGGGACCCTCCTCTGGTGTCCGGGGAGCAGCCGGGGATTGAATCAGCACTGCTGAGGCTGCGGGCAGCTTCGCAACCCAGCGCTCAACCGCTGCGCCCCCGGGGAGGCCCGTACTTGATATTTTCTTACTATTACCACTCCTCTTTGACCTCCTCAAATGTGTTCTTTCATTTGTTATATTCCTTCAAACATTACAGTGCTTCAAAGGACACCAAGATGTTTTCAACAAAATGGCATGCAATTGGAAGCCATCTTTTTAAATCAATGAAACATTCATCAGTGTCTCCAGGT